GTTTTCTCTGAGCAGAACTGTAAGCAGGTTATTCAACAATATTTCAGGAGACAGAGAATGATCATATTGTTTCTGACAAAGGAATTAACTCAACCAACTTCACATTTTGTTATACATTCCAAATTATACAAATTTTTAGAAAAGCAGTCCATTTGAATGAACCATTTGATGGCTCAAAGATTAATTTCTGACTAAAAGGATATTGGGCTAACCCAACTGCATATAATATTTGACAGGAAGTTAACTAGCTTCAGAATAAAAAAAATTAGCAAATACAAATCCCCCTTCTAGAAAGCACCTTACAGAAATATTAGACAATTTATGGTTTTCTATTCACAATCCTAAAATTTGCTCCAATTCCTTTTTATTCTTTCTATATACTATTCAACTATCGTATAATTGCTAACATATTGGAAGTATCTTTACGCTTTCTTTAAATTGAGTATGTATTTCAGCTCTCATTTTGCCAAGACCTAGCCCATTTGTTAAACAGAGATAACACATTTGAAATTTATTTCTTAATTCCAGTATAATTGGCATACAATGTTACATTAGTTTCAGGTGTACAGCATAGTGATTTGACAATTCTTTTTTTAAAAAATTTAAAAATTTTCTTTTTCTGAGAGAGATACAGTGTGAGCAGGAGAGGGTCAGAGAGAGAGGAAGATACAGAATTCGAAGCTCATGCATGGTCTGCGCTCAGGCACCAGAAGAGAAAATCCTACAGTTGAATGGGGGATAAATGTAGAATCAGTTACAAAGAGTATATATTTGTTTGGAGAATCCTTTGGAATTGTGATTATAGCATATTTTCTGAATTGAAGGATACTGATATTCTTTTCATCTATTGCAACTAAAATGGGACACAACTATATTTGCCATTTCAAATAACCATGTCTGCTTTTTTTGATATAGCTTCCGTGTGAGCAAGAAGAGGTGGAAGAAAGATTGCTAAAAATAGATATATACAAATCCATATGTACTTACATTTAATATATATCTGACAGTGAGATTTAATATTTGCTGGCATTTACTCCAGTGTTTTTCTTTGTCTTAAAGGACTGAGGTTGATTTTCAAAATGATTTATCCCTATGGTTCATACGAATATATCACCACTTTAAAATTTTGCTTCATACAGCTGTAGCATTACCCATATGCCACAAGAAAACAAACCTTTTTAATATATGAAGGGTGTCAATGTTAGTCATGTGATTTGTAATGCTTTTGCTTAAATATTGATTTTTTTCAAATTCAATTTTTATTGATTTCTCTTAAATATTAATCATTTCTAATGACAGCTTAAAAAATAGGCTGAGACCTTTGAACATTCTTGCTATCCACTCCTTCTAGAAATAGAGTACAATTTTAGTATGCTTCACATTAAGTCAAACAAAAACATACTGCTTTTTCATTTAAAGGTTTAATGTCATAAATCAAAATTCCATTTATGCCGAATCAAGGGATTTATGCAGAGTATTAGCTGTGGCTCTGCAGTTTCCCCATGAACAGCTCAATGTCATCTGTGATCTCTAGCTAGTGTGTCTGTAACCTGCCACCATCATTGCTTCTTGAAAGACCATTCCTGGCCTATAGGAGACCAGCCTTCTGCAGCCTTAGTGAGGTTGACTGGGCTCAACTTAAATATGACTAGGAAGTGGCAGACTGTCCACAGCTCCACAGGACTAGGCTTCTAGGCTATTAGTGTGTGGAAGACGTTCTGACTCTTCTTAAAAACAAATGTCACTTGCTCACACTGGCTGTGTTTGAGGTTTTTGACTGGAGATTAGCACTCCTGACTGGTTGAGAGTTAAACTGGCAGTGTTAGCAGTGAGGCTTCCATATACCATTTAACTCCTCTAAGCTTGATTTCGTCATCTAGAACATGAAGGAAATAATGCCTACCACTGGCTGTCAAAGTCTTGGTGTGGATAAATGAATTGGCATCAGTGGGTCCTTAAGAAAAGGCAGTTCCTAACTCAAGAGGGTTTGGATTCACAGGCATTTTTATTCTTACATGGACTGGAGTTTTGGGATATGTTTATCCACATAAGCAATTTATAAGTGGTAGATGGATTTCAATCCAGTTCACAAGGACTTTTAAATCCATAAGACAGCTAAAAAGAAGGTAGTTTTATAAGAGTTCAGGATAAATGAATTAAATATTTTTACCTATAAGCTGAAAAAGTGGAAATACTATTGAAGTGCTAGAAATTAACTTAAAAAGAAATGGAAGAAAGATGTATTTTTTTCTCTTGTGTTTTTGGTGATGATGTTTCAGAAAGCAAAGGATAATGAGAATGGGGTTAATGACAAAATTAAAGAATATGTCTGTACACTGTGAATTTATTAAAGTTAATAGCAGGTTTTAAGAAAGATTTTTTTTTCTAATCTAATGTTTATTTGTATTTGACCTAGGAAATTTGGGAAATAAAGCTAAACATACAAAAACATATAAAAAATAATCTTATATCAGCCAGAGATATTTATTTTGAACATATTTGCCTAGGTTCTTGATTTAAAATAAACAAGACATTTAACTTTTCCTTCCTTTAATAAAAGTGCCTCACCAGTATTCTTATATTTAACTATATGGTAAAACTTCTGTCTCACAAACAGGGTTAAAATTTAGCATAACAAGTAAAATGTTCAAGGATCTGCTATGGTCATAGTGGTGAAGAAGGAATCTTAAAGGGCGAGAAGTTAATCAGGTAAAATATCTGGGGCCAATGAACTAAGGAAAGAAGATATGGAGGAAGTAGTATGTACCAAGGGCCAGAATTAAAAACAGAACACCATATGTTTACAAATACAGTTAGTCCCATATATGAACCACTAATGAATTTACAGACTATTCATCTTTTGTTATGGACCTGATTTAGCCAAACCTGGGTTCCAATCTAGACTCTACAAACTTAGTAACTGTAAATCTAGACAAAACTTATTTAACTTCTTTTTTTTTAATTTGGGTTAAGTTTACATAACACAAATTTAACTAAATTGATGTTGTGACATTTGATACCTTCACAATTGTGTGTGACCATTACTTCTATTTAGTTCCAAACATTTTGACCACCCCCAAAGAAAACCTGTGTCCATTAAGGGTCCTTCTCCATTCCTCTTCCACTCAGCCTCTGGAAACCCATCTCTATGGATTTACCTATTCTACTTATTGCATGTAATGGAATCATACAATCTGTGACCTTTTCTGTCTATTTAACTTCTTTTTGAGCCTCAGTCTCCCCCCACCATCTTCTTGACTTAACATGTACCTTATGGGATCATTGTATGAATTAAAATGAGGTACATAAAATACGAAACAGAAACCCTGGAGCCAGCCAGGCTGTCCAATTGTTTCTCTTTCACTGTTTGGTTTTAAATCATTGCATATATTTCTGTGTAGAAATATTCTGTGTATTTCTGAATAGGTATCACACTAATCTGTGAGGACTTATTTAAAATAAGCTTTCCTCTCTCTCAGTAATTAACTGCTTTTGTGACCCTGTTAATGTGGGAATTTCTAGAGATTTTCATCTTGGCCTGTGGTGCGGCCCTGTTCCTTCACCCCATCTCCTGCCTTCTTTTCTAAACATAGTTGTGCTTCCATCTATTTGGTGGGTCCTGGGAATTTGCTTTTCATATCTGTGAAAACAGCAAGCTGACAAACTTCTCCTTGGCATGACACAGCATGTGTGAATCTATGTCATGTCCAAGCGACTTTGTTCATAGTTAATTTGTTAAATTCCTTTGGAGAACAGACATGGCGTTCCCCACTGAGCAATCAGCACAGCTGTGAAGCCAGGCAGTGGCCAAACAGAACCCAGTGTGAAATGTGTATTCAAAGCCCAGAGACTGCGGTCATGGCTGAGCCCCTGAAAGTCTACTGGCCTCTCTGGGAATATGAAGCATAACTTGCCCCAGAACCCACATAGCCAGTAGATCTGGGTGTATAAGATGCATGGCTATGAACATTTAATAGAGACAAATGAGCAGAAGGGGATGCCCAGGAGTGATGCTGTAATCCCACCCCTCCCTATTGTTTTTCTCCTTTGTTTCTGCTTTCCATCTTCCTTGCCCTTCCCTTCCATTTCCCTTCCCTTCCCTTCCTTTCCTTTCCCTTCCTTTCCTTTCCTTTCCCTTCCTTTCCTTTCCTTTCCCTTCATTTCCTTTCCTTTTTGTTATCCTAATATTTCCCATCCATCCCCACAGCTGCTTTGATCTTGGTATGGTGCTCTTTTGACAATTAAGTGATGGGGACTGCTCCCTGACAAGTCATTATGAAGGGAGCTGGACTTTAAAAAGAAATAAACTAAACCTTAGGCACCACTCTTGTGAGTCAGAAGAAAGCATGTGCCACTACCTTGCCTTAAATAGACAGTGGGTGGGCAAAAATGACATCGTGTGCACAGTCTTCAGTAAGCACTCCTAATAAAGTTCCCTCCAGCTGAGATGATCAAAGGCTGTTTTCCACAAAGCCAGCCTATGAATTGTGAAAGTCAGCCTGGCATTCAGAGGTCAGAATCGCAAGTTTCCTTGAAATACTCCATACAGTTGGGGAACTGATCCTTGATGTCATCGATAGGAAAACAAGCACAAGCTGGACATAAAGATTTCAAGGAAATGGGCCAAATGAGATTATCACAAAACTTGGTCTCTCTTTGTGTCTCTTTTTGGAGGGGAGGGGGACTGGAGGAGAATGGGTGTTTTTCTTAGGATAACGTGATAATGGCTAAGAGGCAGAATCTGACATGGAAAAATGTGAGAATCTCATGAAAAAGAATCTTTCATAATTCCCAGGAAAGTTCATGGAATTATTCTGCTGGAATTTTCCAATCTTTATGTTTGGTTGAAAGAAGTTCTGCCTACAAATTTGTCTCATAAAATTTTTTAGGAGAGCTAGGTATAGAAAAGAAGTTTCTGGAAACTTCTGATTAGACCCATGTGTGTGTATGTGTGTGTCTGCATGCACATACATAAGGGGTGCTCTTAGCATTATGCTAAGTACTTTACATGTTATGTCTTTTATTTGATTAATGTGAGGTGGGTATTTGGGAAAATTGAGATTATGCAACATGCTTAAATCAGTCATGTAGCTAGTCAGTGTCTAGATCTAAATTTGAACCCAGGCCTCTCTGACTCCAAGTCTGCACACTTTCCACTTTGTCCCCTGTGTCACCTTCCATCGTACTGCCTAGTAAGCACCTAAATAGGATGCAGCTTCCCCTATTCTCATTAATTCTCTCAGGGCCCACTCATTCAACAAATGTAGATTGGACAATTTGTACAAAGTTCTAGAGAACCTAAAGGTGAGGAACAGTTCCTACCATCAGGGAGTTTACTGTTTAGGTGCCAGGTAAGGCATGGAGTCAGATAAAAAGAGCAGAGGGCCAATAGTGCTGCTGGGGGATAGCAGGGAGAGAGAAGCTCATGTCCAGCTGGGAGCACCTAGGAGGTTTCATAGAAGTGTGGTACTGGAGTTTGGCTTTGAAGGGGGAGATGACTAGGAAATGGAGACAGGGACAGAATTCCAGCTGGAAGGACAGAAAAGAAAAGTGAAGAAGGGACTCATAAGTTGATGGTGAGGAATGGTGATTCTTCCAGGCTGTCTGGACTCTAAGCAAAGACCAGCTCGGTTTGGACTTCAGTCTGAGGGTTTCGGACTTTGTGGTTTACTTTGTATTAGGTATCTGCAAGGGAGGAAATAAATAATAATGAGATATAAGGCCCAAAAGTCACAAATGGATGATTAGCAATTTGACTAGAACAAAGATTTTAAAATGTTTGAGTAATTATTTAAAACAAAGGGACTTCACATAAAAATCTGGATTTCTAAATTATGTTGAAGAGTCATTTGGTATGGCAACAAGTGGTTGCAACTGAGGGGCTGCCCCTTTCAGACAAGCCATCAACTTCTTCAGTTTACCAGTGTCTGCCTAATCCGATACCTGAATCTTCATTCATTTATATTATCTACCTAATCCCTGTGGGCATTTCAGTTGCCAATCCTTGTTTTAGGTGGTCCCCAATGGATGGTCTATTGTCATAAAGCAGAAAAGTTTGAGACTTAACTTAAGGGCAACACTGAGGTTTATATTGTTATCATAAACATATTATATATGTCATTTATAATCTTATAAGGAGAGAAGCCTAGGACTTAATGATTTATTGATCTTTATTATTCTCTTCTTCTGTTTCTTTGACAAATGTTCTTGTATTTTCCACTACTGATCTCTTCAGTCAGAATCTGATCATGGTCTCTGTGGTAGGAAGAATAATGTTCCCACTCTCCTCTAGATATCCACATCCTGATCCCCAGAACTTTGTGATTGAGTTTAGGGTCTCTTTATAGGGAGATTATTCTAGATTGTCTGGGTGTGCCTAATATAATCACAAGAATCAAAGAAGTAAGCATAGAATGATAGACAATAGATAAATTACCAACATACTATGTTCCATGATACCTTTTATTTACCCTTACTATGCACTTGGTATTTACCTGCAGAAGTTTATATAATTTTATAATGCTATGAGGCAGGTGCCATTATCTCTATTTTACAGATGAAGAAATAAAAGTACCCACAGGCAGTAGATGGTAGAGTTGAATGAAAATCATTAGTACAAATTTACTCACATATAACATAATGTCATTCCAATGGTCCCTCCGCTATGCATATAAACCCCTAATTCATCTTTTATCTTTCTTTCTGAGCTGATTTTGGAACTTGGATATTATAATCACATATTTATGAAAACAGAATAACTTTATTATATTTTAAAAACTGAAGTACAATTAACATACAGTGTTATATTAGTTTTCAGACATACAATATAAGAATTAAACATTTCTATACATTACTCAGTGCTCATCATAAGTGTACTTTATCTATGTCATCTATTCCCTCCCTTATCTCCCCTCTGGCAGCCACCAGTTTATTTTCTGTATTTAAGAGTTTGAGTTTTTATTTACATTTCCCTGATAATTAGTGATGTTGACATCTTTCTATGAATGTGTTGGCTATCTATATGTCTTATTTGGAAAAATGTCTATTCAGGTCCTCCATGCACAATTATTTTAGATAGCTGGATGTCTTACTCAACTAAACTACTGTAGTAGTTTAGTAGTTTAGTAGTATGTAGTATGTAGACCATACCCTAGAGCCTGACTGCATAAGTATAAATACTGTTCCTTTTTTTTTTTTTTTACCAGCTGTATATCTTTGCAAAGTTGTATGACCTCTCTGTGCTCTAGTTTCCTCACTTGTAAAATAGAGATAATGGTAGAACACAATTTCATAAGGTATTTTGAAGGTTAAGTGTATTAAAAGATGGAAAGTGCTTAGAAGTCTTCCTGGAACTATATAGTAGCCTTTGTTTATTATTATTATCACTATTATTATTATTTATTATCATTATCATTATCATAATCATAATCATTAGGATCATTAATAATCATTAAGGAGAAATAATTATTACTGTTAATATTTTTAGTTTATTTTGAGAGAGAGAGAGAGAGCAAGCAGGGGAGGGGCAAAGGGAGAGGGAGAGAGAAAATCTTAAGCAGGCCCAGCAGGGAACTGAGGGATATTCTTGGCTTTATGTCTCTGGTTTTCTTTCAATCCTTTTTCTAGCTTTTATTTATGAGACAAGAGGACTCTGAAGTGAAGCTGGTACATTTCTAATGGAATACAGGTAGGATCTTAACCAGTATATTTCATATTTAAAAGCAAACTACACTAAGAGGCAGAAAAGAGAAAGAAGAGCCCTTGTGAAGACAGTGCACATGGGTAATATGCAGAAACTAATTTGTGTGAAAATTGTGGCTGAATCAATCTTTAGTCTCAAAACAGGGCCCAGTCAGCTTGTAGAGAAATTGTGTATCCATGCTTCTACTTGGTGGCTAAGAGCAATGGGTATATGCCTCTCTCCCTCCAATATCTATACCTGGGCAAGGAGTCCCCAGTATGTCCTGTTTCTCTTTCATGCCCAAAGCTGGCCAAGTGTAGTGGTTGGAGATGTTCAAGTCATTAAACAGATACCATCTATAATCCATAACCCTGGCTTGTGAATATTAAGATCTCTGTTGACTGTTTCACTTAAATATTTTTTGAATCCCTATTTTATTCAGGATTAATTTTTCACCATTCTATTCACCCCCATATCTCCAATTCTCATCAAAACTATTGTGTTCCTGGTATAGGAGTTGAACCTCAAGAATAATAATGAGGAGAACTATTCCATTTCTCCACATTTCAACCAAGCATCTTTAGCATGACATCTATTACCTTTCCTTCACCAGCTTCAACTTTATTACTAGCTACAACTTTCCAAACACTCTGTGCTCCCACCACAAAATTGTCATAATTATGACAATAACAATAATAATAATTTATTTTCTCATTTATTCTCACAAAAGCCCAGTGAAATCTGCTCCACAGATTATTAAAGTGAGGTTCATAGAAGATAAGTTCAAGAATGTACAACCAGTAAGGAGAATTGCAATCCATTCCACAAGTACTTGCTCTGTACCCACAAGATGCCAGGGATACAGTAAGAGAAGACTCAATTCTTTCCCTCACAGAGTTCTTTGACTGGTATAGAAAATGAAAGGATAGAGGCACCCAGGTGGCTCATCAGTTAAGCATACAACCCTTGATTTCAGCTCAGGTCATGATCTCAGAGTTGTGAGACCAAATTCCATGTTGGGTTCCATGCTGAGGATGGATCCTGCTTAGAATTCTCTCTCCCTCCCTCTCTCTCTGCCCCTCTCCTGCTCACATGCTCTCTCTCTCTGTCTGTCTGTCTTTCTCTCTCTCAAATAGATAAATAAACATTAAAAAAGAAAATGGAAGACTAAGCAATCACAGTGGGTTGGGGGCAATGCTATGACAAAGGTGTGTACAGGATGCTACAGGAGCTCTCAACAAAGTGAAGGTAGAAAGAGGAAAATATGCTCAGAGAAGGGTTCCAAGGGTGGTGATACCAGAGCTGAGCCTTTACAAAAGAATGAACCTAGAGGATAACTGAGAAGGGAACTTCTAGTACAAGAGTTTCTATGAGCAAAGGACTGGGTGGATCCTGGAAAAACGTGGTACAACACATAGCTATAAGAAATTCACTAAGGCTGGAATTGGGAGTAGAGCTCAAGAAAGGCTTCACTATGGATGGCCTTGTGTGCCACATTAAGAAGCTTGGGCTTTTCATGTAGATGCTAAGATTTGAGGACATCTTTAAGCACAGGGCATAGGAGGTAAGATTGGTGAAAATGATGGCATTTTTATTCTGAGGTGGAGAATGTGCTGAAAGCAAAAGCTTGTTGGGGTGTGTGTAGGTAGAGTTAGACAGACCAATTAGAAGCTTAGGTGAAAACAACAGACATCTGAACTAAAGAAGAGGTAGCAGACCTGGAAAGGAGGAGAAAATACCTAAATCTACTTAGAAGATGAAGTGTCAGATGTGGGGATTGGCAATGGGTATGAACAGTTGGAAATGGATGAATCCAAGCTGACTCCTATGTTTTGGCTGGATAACTAGGGTACTCGGTGAGGCTTTCACTGAAATAGGGACTAGAGAAAGAAGTGCATATCTCAAAGGAAAGACAGGCAGCTTAGTTAGAAACATATTGAGTTTAAGAAGTGTGTAAGACCACTGAGGGTGTCTCTTAGACTGGTTTGGAGCTAGGAAAAGGATAACCATACGGTAGGGAGAGTATAAGTCTTAGATGAAGTCATGGGTGAAGATGTGGTCATTGAAAGGAGGTCACCCAAGACTTGAATTCAGGTTAATCTAACTCCAAAGTCCACATTCTGCCTATGACCCACATTGCCATTTCCCAAGGATAACATCTGTTTATAATTGTTTATACTGGTTCTTACACTTGGGATGCACTTTGTCTTCATCAGTATGTCCTGAGATCCTAGCTATTCTTCAAATCTCACTTCAAGTCCTACATCCTGTACAGGGTTCCCCAAACTGTTGTTATCAACATTAATCTTTCTTGCCCATTCTTTTAATGAACATTTTTACTCCTCTAATATAGTACTTAGAATCTTAGAGACTTGGAAGATTTGATGAGTCATTTCTTGTAACTCAATGTTATAAGAAACACTTCTTCAAAACTTCAGGTAATATTTCCTTTAAGAATTTTATGAGCATGCAGTTCACAATTTTCAGAAGAAACCTGTTACAATTGAAGACAGTTTCAATTGTTAGAAATATATATATGTATACATATATATATAATACATATATATATATTTCAAATATACATTTGAAACATATATTTCAAATGTATATCAAATATATATATTAGAAATATATATTTATATTTCAAATATATACATATATATATATTTGAAACAGGGCTGTCTGTTTCAACTGCCATCCACTGGTACTGGCTTTGCCTGCTGGAGTCCACTCCCTCTTTACATGACAGTCCTTCAGTTGTTAAGGACATTTGTCATCTACCTTATTGCCCTTCCCTAGGCTAAACATCCTCAGTTCCTGAAGCTACTCTTTAGGACATGTTTTGTTTGTTTCTTCACCATCCTTTCTCTTTCTTTTCAAAGTACTTCAGTTTATCTATATTCCTTTATAAAATATGATACTCAGAGCTCCACCCAGTAATATAAATAGGACCTAATCACCACCAAATACAACAAAACTATTCATTGTTCTGGACATTTTTACT